TATTTTGTAGCATGTTGTAAGAAGTATAAGGTGTCGTTTCATGGTGTAAAAATGTATAAAATAAAATAAATGTATAATAATCAATAAAAACTTGCAAAGCAACAATAAAATTATGTAGGCAAAATTGCAACTGAGTTGTTTCCAGCTATGTCAAGATGTGTGTAATTGTAAGATTATATTATGTTTTAAGTTCTATCTTGTCCGAAGATCAAACCATATTCCAGATATATTATACAAAACAGTTCAACAAGAACTTTTTCACAGTGGACTTGGTACGATTTTTAAAGTTTTAAAAACAAGTTTGTCTTATACTCTTTCTATTACGACACATGTATAAGTATTCTTAAGTCTTAGATAAAAATTGCTAGGAGGAAAAATCATCCGTTTTCTAAGAAGTGATAATATTTGCTTGACAGTTGAATTGAGATTTTGTGATATCACGTCACTAAATCTGTTTTGCATGCAAAGTTACACAAGAAATCAGGTTGAAACTGGATGAGCACTTATTTTAAGAGTCTAGAACAATGTATTGTCAAGTGTTAAAAAACTGATTGATAAAAAAAGCCAATTCAAAATGTCACTTAGAGTGGATACCTTATCAATGCATGTAATTACCATTGCAGAGCGGAATGTTTATTTAAGCAGTAATTTTTACTATTTTATTTTCAGCTTTTATTAGTAAATGTACAAATAAAATATCTTAATGTGATTTGCATTACCAAATCACTAACACGGCTTTCCGAGTTACCATGTTGAGCTTATGAGAATTATCTGATTGATTGTTTTCAATGGAAAAAGTAAGAAAATTACTTTTACATTTTTATAAAGAACTTAGGCCTAATAACTTAACTGATTACTATTTTTAAACTACTTTACAGCTGGCTTAAACTCATAAAATGAGACACTACTAGAGAACCCATGCTGCTCCGCAGCGTTGAAATAAATGTCATATCTGAGAAATAATCAAATCAAATTTATGATTTTTGATTAAGTAATACAGTATCTTGAACCAAATGATTCTAACAATCAATAGCTAAAATTATAGCCTATAATTTAATGATTATTTTGAGTCTATAAAAAAAACAGAATCATAGAAAAACCTTTAAAAAAGAGCTGTAAGATTAATGGCCAGAGTCTCCTGTAGAACACATTGTAAAGATTTATTTATTAATTTTAAAATTTTAACTTTTTTTAGCTCTTATATTTACAAATTGGCATTAATGGTTAAAAGTGATTTCGACACATTCATGGACTGTCAACAATCTCATCCACATAACACAAGATTCAAAAATATTATAAAACCAGTTCAACATAGGCTTAAAATCTTTCATTTATCCCCTCAGTATATGGGACCAAAAATTTACAATAAATTACCCGTTGGGATTAAAAACATTGCCTCATTCTCTAAATTTAAACTATCTTTAAAAAATTTCCTTTTGGAGAGGGCATTTTACTCGTTAGAGGAATATCTGGAAAATGAGTATATTTGAAAGATATTGCTTCTCGCATAGGTCTGTAGCTTATTATATGCTTTATTTCTTTTGTAAGCTATTTTATTTTAAAATGTAGTATAGTATTAGTATTAGACTTTGTGACAAATCACCTGTCAAGAGAATTGATGTAATGTGATGATGTTTAATAAATAAATAAATAAATAAATAAAATAATTTGTATGTTGGTTGTTCACCTTGCGTTTGCTTGAAACTCGTCCGATTTGAATAACTAATAGCTTAAATGAAAGCCGGTATTCCACTGAAGGTTATTTAAGCAAAATATATAGTATTATATAATTATAACTGGTGAATTACATCTGAAATTGAACTACGTATTCAAAAATAAATTAAATTAATGTTTTTGGTTGAGTAATACAGTAGATAAATATATGCCGATGCTTGAAGTGAAATCTGGTCGTTCATACCTTCAATTTGAGACCTCAATCATGAAAATCGGTTGGGTAGAAGAGCCAAACAAACTCGGAAAAGAAAAACCAAATTTAACTCTCATTAGAAATATATTTGGAGCAAATTTCGTTTACGTATTAGCCGAGAGTGACTGAAGATAAATATATGCCGATGCTTGATGTGAAATCTGTGACCTGTGTGCATACCTTCAATTTGAGACCTCAATCATGAAAATCGGTCGGGTAGAAGAGCCAAGCGAACTCGGAAAAGACAAACCAAATTAAACTTTCATAAGAAACATATGCGGAGCAAATTTTGTTTACGTATAAGCCGATAGGGACTGTAGATAAATATATGCCGATGCTTGATGTGAAATCTGCATGTGCATACCTTCGATTTGAGACCTCAATCATGAAAATCGGTCGGGTAGAAGAGCCAAACAAACTCTAATTTAAGTAAACAAACAAATGATAATTAAAATAAAATGTAAGTAATCTACGGATATCGCAATAGCATTTAGCTAGTTTCCTTACCCAGAAAATTAATTGGTGTTATTTTAACCGTTGGGTTGAACTTTGTAGTTCCATTTTACAAACAACTACTTATTAGAAAATTGAAATCTCTTTTTCTTATTATCAACTACATTCATAGACTGTGGATTAATATTATCTTAGAAACAAAATATTTTATTTGTTTGGATGGTAAATAATAGAATGAATGAAGTGACACATAAATAATCAACTGATAAGTTTATCAATTTCCTGGAAGCGTCAAACTGAATCCCTAACCCATTCTTACAAACTGTATGTATAATGATTATCTAGCAATAAAAATTAACCTCTTCTGCTTTGAAACTCAAATATGATTGATAGGCTGTCGTAACCCCTCAATATATTACAGTATGAGTAAATCTCCAAGAACAATAAGATTGCATGGTTTTTAAACGTTTCAAGAGAGGAAGCACTTAAGATTTACTGATTGTGAATGTGAAGTGTTTGGATACTATGATATTGTGTAACTCATTCAGAAATATACAAAGAACATATAATAATTCAGACTTCTTGTTGTCAAAATGCAACATAACATACTATATACATGGTGAGGCAGACTACCCGTACACAAAGTATAGCGGCCAAACCGATCGAGGTAGATTGTTCGTAACAACTTACACCCCTCATTTTTACCCCGTAGAATTTGATGAAATTATTTTGGAATCTCCCAAAAGCACCAAAAAGGCTGCCAACATAAAAAAACCAAGAAAATTTCCTGTAGGCCTCGTGGTAAGACCTAGATCCAGGACCGATTTACTTTTTCAAACATCCTGCGATCAAATTCATATGTATGTATGTGTCAGTTAGCACAATAACTTGAACAAAAATTATCGGATTGATGGGATAAAAATTGGTTTTTCCCATTTAGACCTTAAAAACATGAAATTTCCCAACTTTTTCTACATTGTTTTGTTTTGTAGAACTTAAAAAAGACATTTTTAGTACCGGTACACTGAAGCATCGTTGTATGCCTAAAGCACGAGTAACACTAGGCTGCTTGTCTGCCACTGGTGATCAGCGTCCGTGGACCTCGTATTGAGTACTGTACTTAAGCAATTATTGAGGATGTGTGAGACAGAACAGCTGCAAGGTAAACAGTAAGACAAAACAGCTCACTGTAAGCTGCTTTTTGGACGGTCCTAAATACTTCTCAGTAGAAACGTCCCACAAGCACGCATAGTTTTGGAATAAATTTGAAAAATCAATAACCTGCTTCCCCTACCTCAGTCATTTCTACTCTACAAATTACTGATTTTATTTGCCTAGTTTAAAGCTCAGTTCCAGTCGCCATGTCGTCCTTGGGTCCTCTTAAACCAGTACTTTATCGATTACGGTATCAAGGTGTGAAAGAAAAAGAACTTTATTCAAAACTGCTTAACCCCAAGATGCCTCTAGTGGACCAGGCCTTGGATACAAAATAAGGAACAGTGAGGAGTTTCTTCAAGCCGGTTGCAAAAATTAAAAGAAGAGGACTCAGAAACATGTACAGAAATGTTTTACCAATATACCCACATAAATTCCAAGAACTGCTAGAAATAGTTAAACCTCTAATTGAAAAAAAAATTGAGACTTTGGTCCCCACTGGAACGCTTCTAGAGGTGGTCAGACTACTGGCGTCAGCGAGTCCGAGTGGTCAAGTGACTGCTGGTCGCCGGTGCCTCACTACCAAAAGTAGAACATGACCGACTTTGCCAGCTGCTGACAAATACTCGCCAGCTGGCGGTGCCAGTTGCGAATTTTGTGGTCACATTAAGCTTGCAGTAGGGGCTTATACCAGCTAAGTATGGTTTATTAGCCGCTAATGCCAGCCTAGTGTGTCCCGTGCTTAACAATTAGGGAGAAAATTCAAAAAAGTGTAAATTTGAAATTCCCGTGTTAATCGAGGTAATATAAACTGTAGTAATTTGCTTCTTTACATCAAATTTAACAGTTTTGTTCATTTCATACTAAGCTATCGACGTTTCAAACCCAACTCTTTACCCTCCTTAGTAGAATGTTATTTAAATTGGAAATAAATCTGACAATTTTATGGGAATATTTAAGTGAAAATCCAACCAGATAAATGGATATTTGCTAAGTCTACAGGTTTTCCGTGGCGGGGGTCAGCTCCATTATCAAGATGCCACGGAATTTTCTCATGATCAAAACAACGACCTTTGACCTTTTAGTCAGTCAAACCATAGATAAAACATACTCCCTTAGTAGATTTGTCATCCTTATGGAACAGCTGAAGACAATTTTATTGTTAGTTCTGTACATCCAACTGTAGAGGTTGTGTTTTGTTTACAATTTGTTTCTTGTTATTTCAGTAATTTAAAACCTCATTTAACCAAATAAAATTATATAATCATAAACAATTACTGGTTTCCTAGTTATATAACCAAGTAGTAAGCACAAATCATGAAAATAACCCTAGAAACAAAATGTTGTCTACACCAGCGATCAGTGTGGACGTACATGAACTAGACACGAAAACCAATCTTCAAAATTTACAATGGGATGAGGAGTCTAACACTGTAACCTGACATCCACCATCTGTTTTACTCACCTGTGTGTGTTTTCGTGATGTAGTAAAGTCCTCGTGACTACTGACACGGCGTATGCTGTCGGATTGGCAGCTCTGCTTCTCCTCCACACTTGGCCGTTCCTCAGAATTGGACCTGAACAGTGTTACCTACATGAGCGTCTGAAAAACACTAGTTTCCGTTGTACAACTACCTGCAAAAACTTGGCTGTTGAATTAAAGCTCAAAAATTTCACATAGGGGTATCAACAAGTTTGTAACATAATATATGCAGTAGGAAATGCCATAATTTGAATAGTAACAAAGACAAACGGTCAAACCGACTTAGGCTATCAGCAAAATTAAACACTTGAAGTCAATGATCAAATTTAGGGCACAAGGGCCTAGTTTATGTGGATTGTTGTTGGGATAATATGCTTTTCTGAATGGGAAATAAGTCACCAAGTATCACCCCTTCCTTGTTTGATAATACTGTCAAGGACAGTGAGATAGTAAAGTAAGAGTCACATTAAGTAAGAAACAATGAAACATCATCAATGAATGGACACCGAGTCACAGGCTATTGCAAATGTTCTAAATATCCTGGTTCCATACAAAATCTTTATACAATTCAAAGTTGTCTAGACACATCATTCCTATTTCAGAACACATCTTTGTGTTTTAATACAATATCCTTTCTCCCTAACATGTGCTTCGGATTAGCGGGAATCACTATATCACTATTTGAAATGCAAAGAAGCATTTAACTTAAATGAAAACAAAATTGTTGAACCATCAGTTGAACTGTACTTGTTAACTCACCTGACGAACTTGCGGTCTAGACTGGCTGCATCGCTGTTGTGACGTTCCTTGCGTTTCCGTTGTTTCAGCTCGTTCGGAACACTCTCTCCCACTCTGCAAAAAACAGTACCCACTGCTGCAAACTGTCCTGGCATCACCACAAGTCATACATTAGTGGGTTGAGTGCCTCTCTTTTTAACTCATTGAAAATTAAAATCTTCGTTTAGCACTCAAACTAAAAAAGTTTCATGGAAGATGTTTCCAATATATTTTATCCTCTAATTGCTGATTTTTACCATACAAAACTTACTGATGCAAACAAATGTTGTAATAATTGGTACCTATGGTTGGAAAATACTTTTAAGAACAGCTCAAAACAAGGAAACTAAAAACAGTTTGTAGACAAAAGTGAAAAAATAAAAAAAGTATAACTATAATTTTTTACAAAAGATAATAATAGGGGTTAGTAAAATTAATATTTTGGTTTAAATGCATTGAGAAAATTCTCAGGAACTATCAATGATAAGAAATCAGTACTGCAAATTTACGGCAGGAATAATAGGGTATAAAAATTCCTTTTTTTAATATTAAAAGAGCCACCTTATTCTTTCAACTACTGTTCTGTTACTTATGAAGGTGTATTTTGAAGGCATAAAGCATGAAACGTCGGAAAACAGATACTGGTCAAGTTTGACTTTTTAAAATGTTAATATTTTTATTATATTATTACATTTAAGATTTAGGCTTTCAAATAAATTAATTAAATTTGCTCGGGAAGACGTATTTAGATCCGACTTTTTTAGTTGAATTCTAAGATGTACAAACAAATTTAAGTGGACACAAGAACATTTACTGTTAAAATAAACTGCTAGTTTATGATTTTTTAAGGGGTGGGGGGATGTAATTGATCTGACCACTTAAGACGCCAACTCACTTGTCGCAGTAAATGTGGTTGTAGTCTCGTATGAGACAGGCAGTGACGTGAGTAGTCTCTGGTGTGCTGATACCGTGGAACTCGGCACACAGCAGCAGAGGTGAGAACACAGCTGGCAGGTTGGCAGCACTGGCTGGCTGGCGGAGACTGTACAAGTGCAACAACTGTAGCGTGTGACGCAGGGTTGCTGCATGGCGGGGAGGCAGCTCTTGTAGGGTTACGCGGGCTTGGCCACACCATTCTGCTGAGCCACCATATTCTGCAACAGTTATGAGTTTTGTACGTACACTTTAAGGCTACTGTACATTCAGATCTTAAAACCTAAAAATTCAAAAATGATTATGTCTAAGAACATGTAAAAAAATTTGTGTTCTCAATTAGGCGGTGTCACTTACTGTGAACCAGAGTGACAAGTTCTGCAGTAGTCGCAGGCGACACCAGTGGTTCAGGCAGGTCGCGCAGCCACAGCTTGAGTAGCGACGCGACAGACGCTACATCAGCGCAAGTCTCTAAGTCAACGTCTCCAACACGGTTGAATGAAGCCTTCAGTTGCTCCACCAGTGCGGGGTTGCCTCCTGATAACCGGAACAAGCCTTCCACTAGGAGACCTGCACAGGAATACAAAGGTGAAACTGTTTCTAGACAACTAAAAAAACACCCCTCAACTGAAAAGTTTATCAATCTGTAAAAATTAAAACGCCAAGGAGGGTGAGAAAATTCAAATTCCATTACAGTGCTTTGAAACAAAACAAAGTAGACAGAACTTTCTCACAAGTTCCTAAAAGAAATAAGGATGTTCCTTGAATGGGGAAAATCTGGATTTAAAATTAAATCCATACTACGAGTGCATAGCTCACCATAAGATTCAATGTAGTTGGACATTTTGATGAGCACTTTGGGAACGTGATCCTTGTTTGTAGGCAGCTCTTCTAGAGGTACAGCAAACACTCTGTTGACCACAGGTTTACGTAGGGAACTTGTAAACATTCGCTTTACCTTCGTGAGGCGACCTTCCTCCTGCAATACAAAAATATTACGTAAGATGATCTCAAACAGTAGCTGCTTCATGTATAGCCATGTAAACAAGGGACCAGCACTGTTCAGTGTTCAGTATGTACTGACGTTATTGCAGTACTCTTATGTTCATTGAAGTACTTTGGTTTACTGATTTTGCACTTGGTAAAAGTGGTTAGGAAAGTGTATACATTAATTTTTGTATTATATCACCTTAAACTGTTTCAGATTTGAACTATTGCAGAATCTATGGTAGTTTTCAGCGTCAAATGTGTCATCAGTTGTAGATTACTGCCAGATGTTTCACCCTTGCTTTGAAGATGCGTCCTCAATGGTCTAAGCCTAGTTCCTGAGAAGGTCTCTTCACAACAAGGGTGAAATGTTTGGCAGTATTCTACAACTGTCAACACAGTTTGACGCCAAAAACTCTCATAGTTTCTCATGACATCGACCGTGAAAGTCCATGTATGAAGTTTAACTACTCGGGTTCAGACAGTATCCAAAGAGAGATGAGAGAGTCTACTCTAACAACATTAAAACTAACTACCTTTAAATTTGGAAACCTTTGAAATGTCAGCAACAGCCCCAATTTTCATCAACTGACTAAATCTAAAACTTTTGTGAGGGACTCTTTGAGTGCTTTGAACTTTTAGTAATGGTGTCTACTATTTCAGAAATCATTCAATAATTAATTAAATAAAGCTTTTCATATATTGGACGTAGGAATTAAGCGTGTTAGCATATTTTAATGAACGGAGGCTTGTAGCAAAGACAGAGTATGTGTTTACCTTATCGGAAGATCTGGGAGGTTGGACTGCGACAGAGTTGTTACAGAAGGTCGGACGGCGCATGATGTCACAGCAGCTGTCTTCACTTCCCCAGCCGCACTGGAAACAAAACCAAACATCAATATCACAATCATCAGTACTGCAACATATGTCTAATAACATTTGTAACATATATATTTACACTTATACTGTTGACTCGGTAAATACTACATATAAGTGGTCATCAATTTTATGATTGGACACTTCAATCACCATCAGACACAGGTAAATTAATATTTTACTGTACCATAATTTATATGTATTTGCCACCTCGTGAGTCAACAGTATGAGTATGAGTGTAAATATATATGTTACAGGTGTATTTTATTTACTTTATTTATTTTTATGTACTTTCAGTTTTACAATATTCAAAGAATGTGTGAATTTATCAGCACTACTAAGGGCTAACCTAAATTTTCCCTAAGCATCACATTCTAACCTCACACACAGGTTTCACATTATAATAAGAGGCGGTTTGCAAGGGGGGCTATAGGGAGAGGCTGTAGGGGCTAAAGCTCTCATTAACCCTTAATACTTAATACTTTTTTGAAATGACGACCTGGAAATATTTAACATACATTTTGATAAAATACTTAACAGAGGTTTTTGGACACAGTTACTAGAAGTTAAAAATGGCTTTTAAAAGTGACCAAATTACTTAAAAATAGCAAATGTTTTGTAGGAGAACCCCTTCACACCCCCTCCTAGAATGGAACACCTCCTTGTCAGAGCCCTAGAACCGCCACTGATTATCAGTATATTTGACAGTAAACATCCCATTTGCTTCAATTGTCGATAGTACCTTATTTTCATTCTACATAAGGTGTCACATTTTGATCGGTTAAAGTTAAACTACAGTGTTACAGTATACGAAAAATGCCTATTTTTTAAAAGCTCTAACTATCTGAATTCAAATACTAAAATCAAAGGTACACTTTGTGTTCATAATTAAAATAAAATAAAATTACATTTTGTAATAATACTGTTGTATTTTACAATGAATGAACCAACCTAGTACAGTAATCAATCATAACTAAAGTCTGAGGTTCCTGTGAAGACATTCTTCTACTGTTTAGAAACAATAGGATGCCAAGAATTGTCTGGATATAATCTGTCTCAAGTAGTCAAAGATGTTCTGAAATGGCAATTACCAGGTATAGGACCTTGTATTTCAAGGCAGCCTCATATTCAATGGGTCATAGTGGCATTCTTGTCAGATCAATCATACTCAATTTTGAATATTACCAATGAATACATTCATTGATACTTTGTGTTCAAACGTTAATTGTTCTTGCCTCATTTCTCAATTATATCAATTGAATTGGGGCTTTATAAATAAAACCATATCTGTTAAAATATACTTTATATGAGTCTAATTTTTAAGAATCTTACTTTATCTGAAATACTGGCTACTGTGTATAAGTGTATTTAATTGAAATTATAACAATTCATTTTAGTATTATTTCATTTTCATTTCAATTGCTACATTTACAATACCAATTGTTGCATGGCTGATAATTTGAGCAAGTTAAACAAAACTTCTATATCCTCCTCAATAAACATCTGCTAAATATTGAAATATATTCTGTATAGCCTACGTTAAATCCAACACATCATCTTCAAATACATTCTATCATGTTGTCATATGATATCTCAAATCAAAAAACATTCTCTTATGCATGATGCATCATTCTTATTTATTACAATATCATTACTTTTGCCCTTAAGACAGTAAGTTTTGTTCAATGTAAAAAGTTATTTGAAAGCTAGACCTTAATTTTAAACGGTACATAAAAAGCAGGATTAGCAGGATTATAGCAGGATTAGCAGGATTTAGAGCAGGATTAGCAGGATTTCTCTAAATGATTTTAATTTAGTCTGGTATTAATTTTTAAGTAGAGTTAGCAAATAGTAGACGAAAGTACTGTTGGATTTTGTTGGTTATGGGGGTTAATCACTTCCATTATTCTAAATGCCACGAATTATTCTTAGTAAGAATAAGATTATTCAATTGTAATATTTAAAATATATATTGTAACATGTCTCATTTTGTCTAGTTAGCTATATTGTATTTATTAACTGACTATGCTATAACGTTAGCTGTTTTATGACATTGTCAATAATTTGAAAAAATTCAAAGGACAATAAACCGATTTAATTTAATTTCATTTCATTATGGGCCGATTATTTAGATCCAAAACACTCAAAAAAAAATACAGTCACTACATTACCTGACACAGTATCTATCTATATATTAATAGGCAAGCATGTTTCTTTAAAACCTTTTTTCTCAGCTCGTGTGCATCGCAGGGAAAATCTAAGCATACCGTTAGAAAGATATTTTTCTGTAGATGTGCAGAAACCCTTTAAAAATTAAAATAGGCTCAGAAATAAGCACAAAAAATGAATTTGAAATTTGAATAAAATTAACATGGGCTTTATGGGTTGTCATGCTGGTGACGAAATAACAACAAAATATAAACAGAAAATCAAAACAAATAGAAGAAGAAATGCCAATCACATGTTTTATTTACAGTGTGGGGTGAAAATAGAGAAGTCTGTACATTATATATTTTTGGTCGAGTTTCGACCACTGGACGACCTCTAGTATTTCATTATTAGCCATTCCTTAATTTATTTAACCAGCTTCATTTTATCATTGAGTAAGAGACACAATCGCTGGACACAAGTGGAGGATGAGTAGCTTGTAGCTTTGTTACTGACTTAGATCAGCTGTTTTTAAGTATAGATACTTTATTAACCCATCAAGGCTGGGTTCAGTTTTGAGCCATTAAAAAGCTACAGAATTTTCTCAAGACTAAATTGGCTACCTTCAGATTCGCCTTACTAAGCAAACACTATTTAAACACTACTAGCTGTTACCCACAGGCTTCACCCCGTTTGACTTCATAAGTATTAATAAAATTATTCGATTGGTTAGGTTAAGCTGAAATAAACAAAACAGAATACAGTAATTTAAACAAATAAGTACAGCTGAGGTATTTTTAACATTAGGTACCGCCTATGGAAAGTTCCCTTTAGAAAGGAATTACGACCTTAAAGGGCAATTTATGAAATAATGGATAGTTTTGCGCAAGGTTTCTCATCATGACGAACATTTTAAGTATATAGTTTAAGGGGGGTGTGACTTGTAGTTTTTTCAAAAGTTCATGGGTATTTGGGCTTTATATATAGATTTATCAAAAGTTCATGGGTACTTTGGGCTTTATATATAGATATTCACTAACTAATTTGTGTTCAATAGGAAAGAAAAAAATTATGAGTCTGAGAATAAATATCATTAGGATAAAACTGACTACAATAATTAAATTGCAATGGGAATGCTCGTTAGTAGTCTATCGGGACTTAGTGAAGTTTGGCGAGGTTAAAGTGGGGTAGAGCCAGTGACAATGGCCAGGACCGCTATCTGGGTCAACCCACTCTTAAGAGCTTAAGCCGGCTCCACTTCAGCAAAACTCCTGCTCTTTATGTACCGTTTAAAATTCAGGTCTACCTTTCACATTAATTTTTACACGGAACAAAAGATTAAATGGAATTAAAAGAAAATTCAGAGTAATTATAGATTGTTTTAAAAGGAATCATTTGGATTAGAATGTCTTAAATAAGGAAAGATTTAAGACACCTCACTGGTCTAAAATGGTTTTGTATGATACTTTAGCCCCCCAACATTATCTTAACATTTATATTTCCCCTTTGCCGTTATGTTTCCTTTCGGTGTTTTATCATGGAGTAACCTTTAATAGCTTAACGATCATGAGTATAGATAATAGGACAGGGAAAAGGTATTTCACCATTTGGAAAATGGTATGTTTTAATCGAGTCAGTGCACCTAGTTAACTTTAGTGTTGTCAGATTGGCACAAAAACATGTAATGTTTCAATAACCATCTCTATCATGATACTTCAATCAAACTTTGAGCTTTAATAATTTTCCCTACTAGCAAATTAGGCTACACCTATTTAGGCTAAAACTTTTAACAACTTATCTACACAATACCAGAAAAATATTATCTTACTAATATTATAAATCTGAAAGTTTGTGAGTTTGTGTGTATGTTTGTGTGTATGTTTGTGTGTGTGTTTGTGTGTGTGTTGCTCAATCACGCATAAACTACTGGACGGATTGGGCTGAAATTTGGCATGATGATAGCTCACATTCCCGATTAACATTAAAACATATTCTTATCTCAAAAAACCCTTTCGGGCTCCGCCCCAGTGGCTCTGTAGTTCCCCATGTTAATCTTATGATTTATCATATTTAAAAGGAATTAATGAATCTTAACAGCTGTTTCAATTAAACAAGTTGGTTCTGTTCTATGATGTTCAATAGCATAAAAGTTAAAAGGATTACCAACAGGGTGCAGCACTATTAATTTTTTTAAATATATGACAACAGCTAATTTATAACCAAAAGGTGAGTGAGCGTAGCGAACGAACTTCAACCTGGAGGCGAGTTAGCGTAGCGAACGAGCTAACCTGAAGGCAAGTGAGCGCAGCGAACGAGCTCCAACCTAAAGGTGAGTGAGCGTAGCGAACGAACTTTAACCAGGACGTGAATGAGCCATGCGAATACTTATGAAGTTAAACGGGGCGAAGCCCGCGGGTACAGCTAGTAAACTATAATTTAAACTACAGAATAGTAATCTATTATAAACTTAGTAATGTTTTGCTGATTAAATATATTTTAAACTTTCTCTGCACACTTTTGAAGCTTTTATTTTATTCACTTGTAGTTCAGGTAGTTTCTAAGAATGGACAGAACACAGTGACTGGTGACACAACAACCAGACAGACAGTCCAGAAGACCAATTGGTTGTGGTTGCAGGACATGAGGTCACTAGTCAACCAAGACTTGGTTGGGTCACCAAACCGGTTGACACAGGTCAGAACTCATCTCTTGGCCAACTGTCTTTTACAGACTTTGTACACCAGTTGAAATTGACAATGTAAATCACCTCTCTTAACTTCATAAATTTTTTAAATTAAAATTGTGGCTCGGTCCATGAGTGTGTATAGTATTTGCCTAGTAAGGTCTCAGGTTCAATCCTGAGAAAATCCAGATTTTTTATGGTTCTTTACAGGACCCAACTGTCATTGATCATAGGGCTTCCTACTTATCATCATTGCTAAATAAACAGTTGATCTTAGCGGACAAAAAAGGTACACATAATTTCTTGCCCTATTCTACACTCATCTTGCATTCTAATTCATCTTAAAATATACATACAAAGTATGTCAATAATCGATTAATTAATTGAAATTACCAAAAGTGGTTGATAAGGCGGATAGCAGACAGCACCTGGACATTAATGAGGGCAGATGATGATACAATGTGATGATACTAATGTGAAAAATTAAATATTTATAGAATAAAACATATACCCAAAGAATAGAAGGAAATTTGAAGGAGCCAAGACTAAGTTGATAAAGAGGATGGATATCTTAAAAGAAGTGGGGACAGTTAGTTGGTACAGTAGACTCCCTCTCATCCGGACACCTTTTAACCGGACATCGGTTTAACCGGACTACAGTCGACGGAAATGACATCCCTTTAACCGGACAATTATTATCGGCACATTGGTTTAACCGGACTAGATCGGCAGGAAGTGAGCGGTACTGTAACTTGTGGGAAAGATTTGAGACCAGTGATCACATGTCTAAATACAATGCTCTCCTAAATTTAAGTCGAATATCGCTGTAAACGGTCCATTTTAATGAGTTTTTGGAGATGTCGGCTTAACCGGAAAACCCGTTATCCAGACTGGCCTCGGTCCCGAGGAGTCTGGATAAGAGGGAGTCTACTGTAAGGCTAATTGCAGTACCTTCTTGGGTATAAGCAAGTTAAAACAACAACTTTAAAAAAAATCAATGATTTTTAGAGGGAGAGCTCAATATAAATAAATATTGCCGTTATGGCCAAACTGATCAACATTTTTAACAGTAATACTTAGTTTGATAACTAGTTAAAGTAGATACAATATCTTTTAAAAAATTCCTTCCATGAAATTTACAACTTCGACTTACCAGCCGATGACAAACGTGAAGGTTGATTTAAGAGTGTGGATGTGACAACGCAAACTGTTAATGACTGGAAACATGCGAGCAGAAAATTCCAGAACCAAGTCGTGGATAGTAATTTGGACCATTGCTGCTAACCAGGCAATCGTGTGCCTTCTAGAGGTGACTTTGTCAGTTGATTGTGTTGAAACATTTTTAAAACATTTTAAACTTTTGTTATTTCTGTATAGAATTGTTCATTAATAAATAAAAATGTAATACATTTATACTTATTACAATTTAAATTTTGATTGTGCATTGAAAACTTGAAAATATATTCAACGTGATTCTATTATGGAATTTATTGTTTCCAAGCAAACTGGAAATAACCCAGAATGAATATAATATTTAGGTATGTTTTATGTAGAAGAAAATTTCTTTTACTAGAAAAGTGTTCATCTAGTTCCTTGATTATATTGCCACATCATCCATGACTGCATAGTTATATCACTCATTATTATAGTGTATGTAATCAACTAATACTTATTGATGGAAGAAATTAATTGGTAGATTAAAGAAAGTTGACATTCACCCATGCTCATTCTATTACTTGTATTTTTATTAACTACTTGTCAAGATTATATTTAAATAGATAAACTATATTTTAAATAATGACAAATTCAATTGGTTTAAAAGTAAGTAGTAATTTGGTCAATTTGCTCTGAAATTTAATTGCTTAGAGTTAAACAATATAAAAGGCCTGAACATTTCTCCATTGGTTATTGAACAAACAACGGCACAAGCAGAGTGTCTGTCATTAACAAGATTTAATCTGGGGCATTAAAATAGTTGTAAACTTAATATTTGTGAATTTATTTTTAGCAATGTAATTCATTTACGCCAACCCAACAAAAATATAACAGGCGAATTTGCAGGACAGCCAACATCTTTAACTTTACATCTATACAATATAAGTCACTGAAGAGAAATTGGGAAATCTTGTGTTTTAAGGGTAAACAAATAAGAAAAGTCTATTTTTACCCCATAAAACCCACCATAAAGCCCCATTCCCATGGTCCAATTATGCTGGTTCGCGAACTCATTCAAGTTTATCTCGCCCTACATTTTCAAGCAAAATTTGATCAAAATCGGACAAAACTTACCCGAGTTATCGGACGTATGTAATGTACATAAAGTTTTAAACTAATGGTGATTTTGGCCTCCAGGGGCATCAAAATGAAAAAGTATATCGGTCCCGTGTCCAGGTCTTACCTGCCACCTACGGTAATAGCTACTTCCTATAGGGAAATTCGCTAAAACTGCCAGAGATCAAATTGGCTGTAAACGGGGCTTTACAGAGGTTACTTATAAATTTGTTATCAACTAATAAAAGAAGCTCAGCTAACTAACTATATATGAATTGTTAATAGAAAAAATTCTGTTATTGAGTTAAAGCCCCAAAGTCTCAAGATCATATCTACTATCCATCTACATTGTACTTCATCCTGCCAATGTTGGACCCTGGTATACTGATAGTGATTTTAATAAACAGTTCTGACTGAAGGTAAGCTTACAGCTGAGTAAAAAAGCTGCAAAGATCATCTACTGTACCCTCATCTTGCACCCATGCACTGCTTAAACAACAAATCCAAGTATTTGACACTCAATTTAAATTTCAAAGTCCCAGAATCAAATACAGCCAAATCACTAATGGATTTTGTCTTAGGGATAATGTCACAACCCTCTAGGCCTACCCTGAAGTAATGTGTAAAACGCAAGAACCTTAGTGTCTTGAATAAGGTGGGACATAAAAATAAGCTAGCGTTGCTGTCTTTGAGGCTTGATTAATTGAACGTAAAATAGGTCTTACTATTTATTTCTAGAAGTGGCATACTCACAATACAGCCCTTGGCGACGTTCCACAGTTTGGCGGAGGTGGAGGGGGGAGGGGGGCTCAGACAGAGACACTGGAGGGGGTCGGGGGGTTCATGTCTCTGTCACGGCACATCTTGACAACTACGGCTGTTTCAGAAAATGGGTGGAGACCAGTCGGTACGTGAGCATGGAACTGGACCGGAGTGAGATTACCGCTTCACCCCTGTAGTCACTACTGCAACAAAAACATCAATTAATTAGATAAATTGTATTTTTCTACAACTGCATGGAAATAATCACATTGCCACATTTGTAAACAGTATGCAAAACAGCTCTAGATGATTTCCACTCTAGAGTGGAAATGACCATTCTCGCTCGCTAAATTACTAAATCAGCTGACACGTTGATAGTACTTAGTTTATTAGGTAGGTATGAAATCACATTTGGAAACTTAATTTCAAACCTTTCTTGGCATGAAACCAATAATTTACTTTTAACGTATTTTTCTAACTCTTCAACTTGGGAAAGCACAATGTTGAGTCTCATTTGCAATAAATTCTCAATAATAACTTACTGGGTGTTTACACAAAATGATCAATTCTAGCTTTGACTCACTCATCCTGTGTTAGAGGAAGAAACTTCTAGTTTTCATTATTTGTTAGGAAAACCACAAAATTTTTATAATAAGTTGTTTTGATTAGCAGTACCTTCTTACATTGTTGTGGAATGAACAAAAACAAATCAGTAACATTCTGGGATTGGATCCTCAAGAGAAGGGGCAGTGTGTTGAGTGGTTCATAGCAACTAAGTCTCATATTGTTGTTCAGTGTAGATTTAGAAGAAGATTTAACGTAAAATCCTCCTTCTAAGAACACGATAAAAGCATGGTAGGAGAAGTTCATGAACACCACAGAAAGGGAATGGCCGTCCAAGGGTAAGTAAAGAAAATATTCCAAGAATTCAACAATCATTTCTTAATAATCCAAGACAATCAACAATATCTGCAGCATGAAGCATTCCACTCTACACAAAGTGTTAAAAGGATTTTTGCATTATTGTGCTTACAAGTTACAGATACTTCAAAAGATTACACGACAAGACTGTAAAACACCCTGTATAACTTGTGATAAGTTACCTTAGTTTTGGCAAAGATTCAATAGGTATGGGTAGACCTTTTGTGACATAAATCTGTGGAATAGTATTTTATCAAAATACCAGGACAAAATCCATCATTTCAGTGCTAAATCGAGGACTTATCAAGGATTCATTGTGATTTACAGTATTCAAAGTCAATGGTTGTGTATTTTATGTTCACCAATGCTATAGTGACAATAACAAAAGTTACAACCAAGGTAAACTTTAGATGTCATTATATCCACCTATGTCTAAATTATGTCATTATGTCTAAATGCCAACCTACGAACATCGCATGCTCACAGTTGGTGTTCAGAAGCCGAACTTGAGTTATGAGCAGACCTTACGAGGAATTAAGTTAAGGTCAACCATTCACTACTCACTTCAATTGGCAATTTAGGACAGGCCTTGAATCTCTTGGAACAAATGTTGCACATCAAGCGATACATTTTCCATACAATGTTCCACAATAACTGTTAATTATTTCTCTCTTTATCTGTTTCAGAAGCGCAAACTGCACGTGTCAGTTATTTAACATTTAAGATTTGAAGGAGCAATTTAAAGACGGCTATGTTTACTAATGAGTTGCCTATATTGTATTGTAGTACAATTAGAAGAAACCCCAATAAAAATAAAAATAATTGCTTTTTTATTTTGCTTAAATGCACTAATAATTACCACATAGATTACATAGGTATTTAAACTAAGACTACGATTGCCGAGCATATGTTAGAGAATTATAAGGTTCTTGAGTTTTTAAGGCATAAAATAACTATTAAAACTCATATTACATAATTAAAATGTAAAAAAATTGAGTTCCCCTTAGAGCTATCCTTAAGGAAAGTTCCACAGCCGAAGTATTAAGATTTTGTTGTTAAAACTAAGCATTTGTAAATATGTTTTTTATTTTATTAAATCGTATAGCTCTAGTAAAAAATGCCCACATTGTCCACAAATGGCACTGTCCCAAATGCCCACAAAATGCTCACTCAACATAAACGCAGGTGGGCAGAGTCTGACAAAGTAATAAGTGAATGTAATGGATCGGTGTACATCACAAACATTCAAACTCATACTTGTCACTTGTATACCACAGGTGCGTCCTAAATGTCACTGCCCAAATGTCAACTTGTCCCTCACATTTATTAATGTTGGTTAGAGCCAAAGTAGTACTGCTAAAATGTGAACGTTCAACAGTGGGGGTGATTGATTAATTTCTCCATAACCATTTAGCGTACAACCACGCTTCAATGTACAGTACTAAATTATTTGTTTTTTAAGCTCTACAAAATGGTAATAGTATTTCAAATTTTAAGTTTTACAGGTCAAAAATAAGAAAACCCAATTTTACCCCATAAAATCCTGTTCTCAAAGTTCAATGATGTGGTTTGCGAACTTGTTTGAATAAACGTAAGTTTACACACTACTACCTAATTTCATTGAAATCAGATCATTTTTAAGTGTTGTAATGTTGTAATGGGAGTTATCATGTTAACGGACATACAAACAATGGCTGTTATTTCATTTTTATACATTTATGAATTTGAACAGATGGTGTATGGCTTCTGGGGATTCCAAAATGAAAAAAGTAATATGGTCCTGGGTCTAAGTCTTATTTTGAGACCTACAGTAATAGATAATTCGCTTTAGGAAATTCGCTAAAATATACAACAATCACAGTTATACATTTTAATATACAACAAGTTTGTTAATTTCCTATGCTAGTTGCTTTTTAAGAGATGTTTAAAATAGAAAAGTGGGAATTTAATGTTGAATTACAATTTATGTAATTTAATTTTGAAAGGAAACCCAAATGTATACATTGGTAAAATTACTGTATAAAGATGATGCAGCAAAATATAATAAAGTCAGATATTTGATTTTTGCCTCAATGATTCTCGTCAAATTTTAATCACGCTGCTTAAACCAGTCAAATCACAATCGTTCAGAGTGCCGCACAAATTATTGAAGTTTACGTCAAAATTGCATCATCATTTGAAAAAGTACATTTTTAATGTTCAGTATTTTCACTAAAACTAAGAATATTGAATATTCTAAGCACTGGGAATTCGTAAGCCTGCAAAAAGTACTTTAGCCTAATAGAAAAGCTCAACAAGTGTATTAGATAGGGCCGTTATCTGCCATTGACGTCATTCCTCCAACTAAAGTACAAGTTTAGTACATTATAACATAGTGATAAGGATAAGTGTTATCATAGGTAACCTCTGGAATGATTAAGTTGAGCATGTTGCGTAGGTTGAGGTGGCTTTGACAGCAATCATTTAAGTTAAATAATAGCTTAAAGAATTAAATAAGTTAAGGAATTGCTTGATAATTTAAATTGACGAGTTTACATCCTCATTGAGTACTTCTGCTGGTTAATCGCATGGCAAGTGGTCCTGCAATAACGCAAAAGGCGTAAACATATTTTCGGATTATTTTGAGGATTGTGGATTTTATAGCAAGAGTGTATCCAAACAAAAGCTAGTATTTAACAATACTGTCGCTTTAAAACTAACACAACCTAAACCAACGGAAGGAAAATTTTTTCACCAAACCCCTTATTATATTTTTTTGTGATTTAACACCCGGAAAGAATTCAATAGGACACATGTCACATCGTGAAAAAAGGTTTATCAGTAAGTATTGCCAGTTTTCCCTAGAAAAGGTTATATTATTGAGTCTAATTCTAAGCTTAGTACATTTTTTTTTTGTCTAAAATCTTGTCAGCATGGAATTAATAAAATGCTCAATGGAAGGTACAGTGAACTAATAAGTTTATTAAAAACGTCTAAACAAATCCTACAAGTACTCAAATCCTCAAAGTAATGGTAAATGTAGTATAGAATGAATTAATAACCATCAATAAATTTAACAGTGTAGATTGTCTAATTATGGAAGATTCCACCACCTTTGCTGTATCAACTTTCTGTAGGCTTTGCCTCCGAATTATCCAAGTGTTAAGGAAAACAATTAATGTTTTAGTGATATTTTTCAGGGAAACAGTAGGATAACTTAAGTTTCTACAGGTTTTGGACTATTTTGATATTTTGTTTACAAATTTAATTTTCCAAACAACATTTAATATGAACAGCGGTAAATAAACTGATTTTTTAAACGTCTTTCTATAAAAACACATATTACAGTATGTACAAAATTAGTTATTCTCACTAAATTCTATATCTGGAGTCTGGACAGGGGGTAAAATTACGGGTGTAAAAATCTGGGGGTAAAATTCCGGGGTGAAAAATCCAGGCCGCACATTTTGAGCATGAAGGGGGTAAAATTCCGGCCCATACACTCTAGGTTTTATAGTTTAATTTGTTCTGATTACATTTACAACCGTGAAAAAATGCGTATAATTAGGCCTATAATTCCACTCTTATATTATTCATCTCAGGTTGTGCAACTCAAAAGTTCGCGATCGGAATTTTACCCCCTAGGCTGTGACGTCAGTTTTGCTCAAGGGGTAAAATTCCGCTAACCCTTGCTGCAACCTGGATAGCCAAAAAAGATGAAAACCCATCCCGGGCTAGGTTCTAGCCTAGTTGATCAAAAATATTGATTTCATGACAGAGGATGTGGTATTTTATAATTTTATGTAGACGTTTATTCATTAGGCCTACGATTGAACACGGGAGATTTGTATAGTAATTTAATGCATCAAACTACAGCAATAACAAATTCTGACTGATCAATTTAGTGTCGTAGGTTAACTATAAAAAAACTACGGAACATGATATTAGTTTGAGAAAATCTTAAGTTCTTTAAAAGTCTGACAACCTCTTTTAACCTTGAATTGCCCGCCCACATATGCCTCATGCCTGTGCCTGGAACCATTCTGGAACGTATCCAGCAAAGCAAGGGATGAGCCAGTACGAGAGGTTAATGTGCAGATGCAGACACAAGTCACTATAGCGTTAATCTAGTAACAAGTCACGTAATTGCAGTGTCAGGTTGACTAGGTTCAGGTTGACGTAGGTGTGGCGAGGGTGGGAGTCTGCGCGACATATCTGGGTCATCCTCATCCCCTAGCGCTCACTGACAACAATAACGGGTCAGTAACATCAACACCCCTACCGTGGTCACACTCGCCCCGGA